TCTCTCTGTTCTGGAGGAATATCCACAAAAACTCACAGGTTTCTTGTTCATAGCGACACTGTTCTCCTGTTTGTGACTGAGGTAGATGTATTTTCCTCTTTGATACCAACCTTTAGAGATTTGATTCCCATCGAAGGTTTATAGATGTCAAATTTTTATATTAGAAGTCTTTTCCTGAAAAAAGTGAGCTTTTTTTCCTACTAAGATAAAGCAATACTTGTTTTTCCGTCAATTAAGAAGGATATTTCTCCTATACTTAGGAGGAATACTTTCTAAATCTGTTTCATGTTTTTTACGGGGGTATATTCAATGGGTCCAACTATAGCATCTTCTGCTTGAGTGATATTGACACAGGAGTTGCTGGATGAATGTGTGATTTAAATGCATGAAATGTAGACGACAAATGGTAAATCACTAATCACAAAGAAAACTCACAACCTTGGATATCTTTGACTACGTGTTGGAGAGGTATCCTGAGGATGTTCAGTAGAATGAATTTTTAGTCTTGTTACTTCTAATTTATGTCTTCACCAGCAAATTATATATTTTTCCTGTTAAATGTCAAAGTGAACTAATTGTCAAAAATAAAAAATATTGTTTGATTTCAATATGCATTAAAATTTTCAGGCACATTTTATTCATTTCATGCCTGTCTTAAAGGGCTTTGTAATTTCCTAATCTATTTCATTTTGTGCTCTTGTTGAAAGAGCATTTTATTTTATATTAACCTTAAACAAGCCCTGAACTTCGATACAGGAAGATGAGGTACCAGTTATTAACCTAGTGACACTAAATATATGCCCTTCATTGTCCCTTGCATTGTTTATTGTAGTGTTTTCCTTCTATCTAGAGATTTATTTTCAAGTATCATGAGAACAGGAAAAGGAAAAGACCCCATTCTCTCAATTTTCTCTAGCTTGCAACTTTAGCTTCCACCATCAGTCATGCTGGTTTACTGTGGGAATTTGAACTCTTTGGGGAGAGGTACAGTCAGCAAACCTATATATTCATTGAGAAATATGTCTTAACCCTTGATTTAAAATGGAAAATGTACTTTCTTTAAGTGAAGAGTCAATTTCATTTCCATTTTGGGGCATTTATATGGCCTCCCCCATTCCTGGACATGAAAAATAATCTTCCCCTTTTTTAATATCTCACATTTTCTGCCATATTAGAAACAAAACCTCCAAATTTCTAGAGCTAATTATTTAAAACATCTCTGTCTTCAAACAAACCCCAAATCAGCCTCACTTGAATGATCTCATTTGCATAGACATTAAACTCGTAAGACTTCAGATCACTATAATTTAAATGTAGCATTACTAATTCAAATTTATTTTTTATATAAACATATAACGATTTTGCAGTTAAAACATCTCAGAAATTTCTATGCGGTTGCCTGGATCAAATATTGATATGTTTTCTTCCTCTTTGATATGTCATGGGACCACAGGTTTCATATCACAGTGTGCGGGATGTGTGTGACAAAAAGGTCTGCGGTCCCTTCCTCATCAGATACAGAGCACAATGAAGTATAGAGTTAGTGTTCACCGGAAATGTTTTCTATGCATAATGCAACACATTCTATTTGACTTCTTTCACAGTCGAGGGCAGCGAAAGCCTGTGGAATAAGGATCCACTGACTAGCATTTCCTACCAGATAAACTCCAAATCCGCTCTGACTTGGCACCAGGCGAGGAAGAGCTGCCAACAGCAGAATGCTGAACTCTTGAGCATCACAGAGATACATGAACAAACGTACCTGACAGGTAATAACATGAAAAGAAAAACAGGATTATAAGTAAAATCATGATTGCTTTATTTCTATATAATTTAACTTGAAAGTAGACAGCACAAGGGATTATAGACATTACGACAGAGTCAGTCCCTAAGCAGATGATGCAGATGATATGACAAATCTATACTCTGAAAATGACACCGGGCATGACAAATAGTTCCCAACTCATGAGCCGGCTTTATTCTATTAACTGTGACAGTCCCTAGAGCCAGTGCTAAGAAGGATTCTGAGGAACAGTCTGGGCTCAGAGTAAAAGATGCCACAATCAATTATTAATGTTTTTCTTGGACACGAGGCTGGCCAGATATTCCCTCTTCAGGTCCACCCTGAAGCCAAAAATCTTTCATGAGCATAACAGAGTTCAAAATGATAAAAC